GATGGTACCGTAGGGTGAGATTTAGAAGAAAAATAGTTTAGATGATCACAGCTATGCAGATGACACTGTCTAAATATTGTCCCATCTCCAGACACGAAAACAAATACAGCAGATAGTGTCTGATAGTGTTACTGAGCTTTTTGATAAGAAGGTTCTGGATACAATTCTTGCAAAGTGAAATTACACAGACTGACTGGACTCCAAAATATGAAGCGTGAGCACGTGCATCGCCTTTGTTGTGGTTGGAAGAGTATTTCAGAGGCTCACTCTGATAAGTTTTCTTGGCACAGTCTTTTCTTCAAGGCCTGATTCTCCCTTGCTTTGCATTCTTGATTATCATTCATACCTGTGTAAAGTAGGTATAAAGTGCCTTCATGTGGTAATGCAGTGAAGAATTGGGATCACAAATTCTTCAGCACAGAAGGGATTTTTCTCTTTTGAATCCATTTAATATTGTTACCAAATACTTGCAGTTTGCTAAAGAACTGCATCTGTTTTACTTGTACCTTGATCGGGCATCCAGGCTGTCTGTCTTTGAAACACTGAGACTGAATTCCTGCAATGCAGCATACGCTTAGCTGCCCGGGAACTTCTTGTGGCCAGTGCTGAACGCCATGATTTATTATCATGGAAAGTAGTGCAGCTGTAAGCAGCAGCTTAATATGAAGCACAGAGTAGGACCCAGATCCAGCGTGATTAACCTCAAGAGGTCTCCTGAGGGCCACTGAGGCAATCTGATTTGGGAATCTCTCTCCACTGACTGAATAGCAAACACCTGCACCTTCCTGCACAAGTGTTTAAACCACCTTGGTGCTGTTCAAAGGCTGGCCGTGGCCATGCAGTCTGATGGAGCTAATAACTGGTCCCACCACAACTAGCCTCTCAGGCTTCTCCAGGGATTGAGATGGCTCCACCTCTCAGCTTGGATCACAAATTAGTTTGAGTGGGGAAGAAGTATTAACCTCCCCAAATCACTGTTTCTGAACCTGCACATCTGAAAAAATTGAGGCTATAAGGTATCTAGCAGTTTTTCAGAGAAGGGTGACTTGTCCACTAGGCAGTGCAGGAAAATAGGTTGTTGGAGACTTGCATGGTGTTTAGGAGCCCCAGTTCCATGTAGCCAGGATGATGGGAGATACCTAATCAGAAACTTCAGATGGTGTGTTGGTTATTAAGTGATCTTATTACTGAACTTCTGGCAACTTTACAAAGTATTTACTCTCTCTCTTAAATCAGAGAGTGCATGTTCTGATCAAGGGCTTTAAAGAAAAGTGGTTCTTACCCAAATTGTTATTTAATTGCTTAAAATAAAAATATCATTTCTATGATGTAGTAATTAATTCTGGGGCATAAGCCAGTAGCAAAATATGCATGAATGTTATGTGCCACTGTCATTAAAATGTAAATTGGTCTTTTATTTTGACTGCATGATCTTGCTTACATACTTTAGAAAGAACAGTCCAAAATGGAAGTCACCAATTTAAAATAAAGGTCATTTTTTAATAAGAATGCATGAAGAAACATTTAACTGTTTTCACCCTGGTCACTATAATATAATGAGGATCCTTATAAGAATATGCTATATATAAAAATGGAAAAGGTAGAAGGGGGACAGGAGACGTCAACAGTATCAGCATAAATGGGAAAATATTGTAATGTTAAATTTTTGTAGTATATTGGCTACCATTAGAGCAGCAAACACAAATTTCCAGATGTTTGTGAAGAGTCCAACAGTTATATTTTATATCTATGGCTGTATTAGAATTTCTATTCAGCAGCCTAGAAAAACATCTCATGTCACAACAGGAAAGAAATATTACTGTGGGGTTTTTTTCTCCCTCATCCCCTATATAGCAATTCTGAATACTTCAGTCAATGCCAAACAAAAATGATGGTTTAAAAATTAAAACCACAGTCACTAGGGGCAGGACATAAATGTGCAGATGTTTTGTGATGTTGAAGAACTTTTCGGGCAACAGTCACAACGCTGTTGTGGAGAGGACTGGAAATCCATCAGTCGGACACTGTCAAAAGCATTCCCTAAGCTACGCTGTCAGAAAAGGCAGTTACCTTTTCATATTCCCTTAAGAAAAAAAAAAAGAAGAAAAAAAATCGAAACGAGAAAACCTACTCACAATGGCCTTTATATAGCTCTCACTATTTTATTAGCAAGGGATTGACTGTGATCTGTTAATACAAGTGAGCAACTTATATCTAGAGTTTACTGGGCAACCTGTACAAGTGGACAACGGCATTGTCCCAAAGCAGTGCACAAAACATCTATTTTCCTTCTCCGGGAAGGAAAATTTTTACAAGCTTATAAGCTGTTTCTGTTTCAGGCACCTCTGGGCCTTAATGCTGTTATACAAATGGCTGCCTGAAAATCTCGTATTTACCACACCTACCTGGCTAGACAAAGAGACATCATGAATAACAACAAAAATAGCAGAGGGCGAGTTTTTAAAGGCACTCATTGTAATCGGTACCTTTAATGCCTGTGCATGATGACAGACCTCTTGCCTCACAAGAGCTGGCAGGCACTTCTGTGAACATGCGTGTAGCACCGCGCCGTCCTGCTGGAGCATGAGCTTTTACTGTTGCCTCTCTCTACCACCTGATGGTTACAAGGATGGAAATAAAGGTCAGAAATATAAATGGATGTCAGCTCCTCCCTCTCTTGTTTATTTTACTTGCTTTAATTAGTAAGGTGAGATCACAGGTGAGGTTTTCTGCACTGCCTGGCACCGCTGTGCCTTGAAGGGTGCAGAAGGCTCTCCAACAGCGACACGATTCCTCAAGCAACCAGAAACTCTCTGGAGCAAGAAAGCCATGGGCAGCTGTACCACTTCCTAGCAAAAGGCAAGGAGGACACTATTAGTAAAGGCGATGTGGTGGGAGTACTGGCTTGTGCAAGACAGGTGGTCCAGTGGGGAAGGGTTGGCATATGTTAGGGGAGGCAGGGATAGGGCCAGGAAGTGTGCGGCCGTGGGGAATCGTGGAGTTGGAACTGCATCTCTGATGGCCTGGCCTCTTTTCAAAGCCCCAGAAATTGCCTGTCATGTGTGGCTTGTGTCAGGTGTCAGGTACCAGTTTTCCAGAATGAAATGCACCATTAGCAGGTAAAGACAATTCATTAGGTGCAACATAGCAGAACTGTAATTAATTATTAGATATTACTTCTCACAAAATGCATCTCCGAGATCACATTGCATTAGCCACAATATTGGACTGATGGAGCATAAACAAGGGTAATGATAAACACTGGTGAACGGAGTTGGGAAGAGATGGTTATTAGGGTACCGGTGTGTTTCATGTGGGGTTTATTTAACAGTCTCATTAATGATCTGGAAAAGGAAGTGAATAACCATTTAATTAAGTTTGCGTTTGATACTAAATTAGAAGTTGCTGCAGACACCTCCAAGGGCAGTGAAATAAATCAAAAGGAGATAGAGGCATGTGCGGTAAAGAAGAAAATGAGATCTGGTATGAAGAAAAAAAGCAAGCTAATCTCTCTGGAAGCAAATAATCTAAAACGTAGCTATCAGTGGAGGAATTCTGGAGAAAGCAGTGTTGAAAGAGATGTAGGAGTGTTAATGGACTATATATTCCATCACAGCTCGGGTATATGTTTACAGAAGCAACGCATCAAGGAGCAGGAAGGTAATAGCCCTTCATTGTAGGGCTCTAGTGAGAACCCATCTATAATGCTGCACTCTGTTTTGGGCATCCTGTTATCAGAGAGATATAGACAAATTGGAATGAGTTCAGAAAAGAGCCATAAAAATGATCCCATATCTCTGGAGATAATGACTTATGAAGAAAGATCAGAAGAAGTAAATGTGTAAGGCCTTGTCTGAAAGATGACTGAAGTAGGGCAGGAAAATAGTCTGCAAATATGTGAAAGCAAAAAGGGAGGAGGGTAATTTATCACAGTAACTATTAGTAATAGGATGAAATAATAAGTAACAACAATAAATTTAAAAAGGGCAACTTCAGGTTGGGAGAAATTTCTGACAGTGGAATTTGGGTTAGTTTGCAGAGTAGTTTCCCAGGGGTAAAAGTAAAAGCTGCATTCAAGTCATTTAAAATCAAATTGGACAACTCACTAGAAAATGCACCCTGCTATAGGGAACAATCTTCCATTGCCTGGGGAATAAGCTGGATGACTTAATAGAACATTTCACACTCAAGTCTTTATGACCGTGATATTTTTAATATGCATGGTCAACTATTTCAGGAAAGTATACATTTCTTCTGCTGTCAGGCCTGATAATACAAACACTTGCATGCAAACATAACTTTTAAGAAGGCAAGTAGCTCTGCAGACAGCACTGCACTGCTGACGTGCAAAAACACAAGCCTGAGCTCTTCAAGTTTTTGCAGGATCAGAGTCTTAGATCTTGCAGTTGTCAATATCAAGATGGTATATACAGGTAACCACATCATTTATGGGTAGGTGAAGAAGTGTGCAGAACAAAAGATAGGGGTTAGAAGCTCCAGTGAGGATGTATTATTATTGTTATTATTATCGTTGTTGCTGTTACTACTTATAAATGACTGGTACTGTGGAGTTCAACTCCGTTTCTTAACTGTTCACCTTTTTTCATCTCCTGCTTTCACCTCTGTGCAGAGTGTTCATTAGACAGTGTAAGACTGCTTTCTATACTCTGGTTTTTAACGTTTGATATTTTTAATATATCCTAAAATGTCTGTTGAATGAGAAAAGAGACAAGCTGAAGTGAAAACTTGACCCTCCCTCAGACAAAGAAGAGATGGCAAAGGCTATGGATTTAAATGAATATGAGGGTAACCCCATATTTTCCCCCCAGTTATAATAATGCAGTATTGAATTCCATTCATTAGCAGCGGAGGCAAGCTCACAGGCATTCACATAGGTATGCTCCCTAAAACACCACGGGTTTTACATGTGGGTTTTTTTATGTTCTTGTTTTCTTCTCTTCCCTCCCGCCTCCCCCATGGGCTGTGTGTGGGGCTGGCAGCCTGGTGGTGCCGCAGTCCAACACCCGAGCCTCGGGACTCTCCAGCAAGGGGTCAAGCAGCAGCAGCTCCAGTGAATCCGAGACCAGCTCAGAGTCTGACTCAGAGAGCGAAAGCAGCTCCAGCGAGAGTGACGGCAGCAAGCCCTCGCATTACTCCAGCCCAGAGGTAAGGGCTTCGGCTCTCTATGATTTAGGGCGGCAATCCGTTATTACACCCACTCAGACCTTTTTTCAGCCAAGGCAACACAAGGAGGCTGTGGGGAGATGCACAAAAAAATGGAAGAGAAAGGCCCAGGGATCCTCCTCCTGGCATGCTGTGAAATGCAAGTGGCAGGGGATCCTGGGGCAGATTAAAGCATTTGAAACAAAAATTAAGAAAGAAATAACCCTGTGATATTTTCCTCAAATTGGAGATGAGTGGAGTGCCTTGCAAGGCTCACAGCTTGCTTGAAGTTTTACGTGACTCTGCCTCCATAGCAATGGCTTGCTTAGTGCCTAAGTCCTGATGTGGGCTCCCAGCACTGCAAGGGAACTAAAGGCTTCTCTACACAGGGAAGCTATTATAAAATCAGTTTGAGGGTGAATTTTTAAAGCAGAACAGTTGTTTTTCACTCACGCACTTCCCTCACCTCACTCCCTAAGTGAATTACTCTCTGCTACTGCTGCCTTTGTGTGATTTATTGTAATCTACATCCAAAATGGACTAAACTGAATTACTCACGGTGCAAAACATTAAACCCAAACTTATCATCTGGAAAGCTAGTACTGAAAATTTTCACATGTAGACAAGCCCTAGCCAAATTACAGTTAAGCTGCCAGTGCTGTGCCACCTTCTGCTTTCACCTCTGCAGAATGCTCAACAGACACAACAAGGCTGCTGTCTCTGCTCTGCTTTTCTAGCAGGATTGACGTTTTTACGTGTTTTGGTCAATACACACCTTTAGTATAAAACCATGAACTCCACAGCCACATCATACACATTAATGTATGTAAAAATATTCAAAAATCTAGCAGCAAGATTGTAAATACACATGAAATACAGTCAGTGTATTTTCCTACTCCACATAAAGCATCCAATCACCAGACTCCTCCCCCCGAAACTATGCCTCACCTATTCTCTCATGCTGAAAAATTATACTGAATAACCAGCACGCCTTTCCTCATCTTTTGCTCGGTTATTTGGGGCCATGTTTCCTATCAGGCAAAATGCAGCACTCGCAGAAATATCCTTAATATATTTTTCTCAGGTTCTGTTCCTTTTTTAACACTTATCTTCCTTTCTGTCTTTCCTTCACAGTACTTTCAGATCCATTTCCAGTTAATTTTCCTCTCACTTTGTCCCTTTCCTAAATCTCTGTCTCTGGTTCTCTTTCCTTTTGTCTCTGTTCTCTTCCCTGTTGCCCTCCCTGCACTACCCTATGTCTTATTTCCCATTCTGAGCTCTCTCATCCGACCGGTTAAGACCTTGTTCTCTTCCTTTCTGTCTTTCCTTCACAGTACTTTCAGATCCATTTCCAGTTAATTTTCCTCTCACTTTGTCCCTTTCCTAAATCTCTGTCTCTGGTTCTCTTTCCTTTTGTCTCTGTTCTCTTCCCTGTTGCCCTCCCTGCACTACCCTATGTCTTATTTCCCATTCTGAGCTCTCTCATCCGACCGGTTAAGACCTTGTTCTCTCTCTGCCTAGTTTCCCGCTGGAATTAGTGCAGAGATCTCGCGCTCAGCCTCTCCTCCCTCTGCAGGATCTCAGAAGGTGGAAGAAAAGGGACAAAGAGAAGAAAGAGAAGGAACCATTGTGGGGGGAAGGAAATATGAGATAAAAGGAGGAGAAGCATAGTACCCAGGAAGGGAGGAGTGTTTACTATCTAGGCAGATACCCATGCTGCTTGGACCTGAGAGCAGCAATTCCTCAGGGAATGTGGGAAGTTAATTAACTGAGGCAGGTCGTGGATTTCATAAAGTCAAGCAGGGATCTGAGAGTCATCGAAACGTGGAGGAAGTGCCTCCTCTTAAGCATTTTATACATATCCTCTAGAGATCTGTGGAACTACTTTTGTACAGAGGCTGAGTTATCAGTGATCATTGTCACGAAACAGCTGCACTGCTCCAACAGATTGCTTGTCTCTTTGCATTATATTTGTGTGGTTTGCCTTCTAGGACATGCTGTATGAAACATGCTTATGCGAAAATGTAAATGACTCAAAAAATGTGATGGCTGCAGTGGTTTTCATAGGTCATGCCCTGATGGGATATGGGAGAGGCCACACATGGATAGGGTCAGGGTGTCCCAGGGAAGTAGGATACCTGTGCTTTCCCCAAGGGCCAGTGCTTTCCCAGGCCCATCGTATGACTGATGGCACCAGTTCAAAACATGCTTATGTGATGTCTGTGACTGGAAGTCCTGTCTGCTTTGCATTAATGCTTTAACTTACATTTATGCACCCAGTGAAGCCATCTTTCTAAAGTATATGTCATGTTCTTACCCGGTAAATGGAGAGACATGTCCTTGGAAGCTCTTTAAAGGGAGGCCCTGTCCACCTAAATTTAAGTAGTGGACTCAGTTCCAGTCCTAGTCTTAAAATGAATTTCATCTGTTGGATAAGACAGAAAAAGCAAATACACCTTTGGTTTTGCTTTAGCATAAACTGATAAATTCAGCTACAATGAACTTGCGTACTCCAGCACAATGCTGGGCAGGAAATCCATATTTCCAGGTTGGGAGGAACTTAATCTGGAAATCTGCAGACCATTATGAGGCCTCCATTCTTTTTTTTTTCCATAATCTGAAATATTATATGCATATACTCAAAGATTTTTATTTCTAGGACAGCGTGTCTTCTGCATTTGAGGCTATATAGAAATTCAATTGCTGTTTCATTTCTTCTGTATTTTTTTCCTCATCTCATTTTGAGATCTTTGAGTTGTTCTCAGGTGTCTAAATGCAGTTGCCTAGAGTGTAAAAGCAGCTCATTGTAAAGCATACATATAAAATAGATTAGATGAATTGCACCCTAAAAGTGTCTGTTTCTTTCCATTGACTATTTAGTTGCTGTAGTGACTAGCTCAGCTGTCTACACTTTATGTCTGCAGTAAACTAAGAATAATGGCTGAGCTAGAACAGGAGACAACATTCAGACTGGTTTCAGTGATGTGGACAAATTAAGGTGCCTCAGACATTAATGTGAGTAGTTACAGTTTTGTGGACTGCCAAACCTGAAATTATGAACAAGGGACTGAGGCTTCTATCTCCTGTTTCTTTGCTGAAGTCATGAATTCTTTGCATGACCTTAATTAACGTCATAAATGAGGACTCTGGAAAACAATGACGTCTTGTCCTTGCAATTATTTCAGATGGCAGAAAAAAAACTTGGGTGCCAAGTCCATAGAAAGAGCTGCATTTCAAAAGCTAAGAATTTGGTTTGTTTGTTCTTTGTTCCATTGAATTATCCTGCAGACCTTTAATAAGGCTGAATCTGGTTAGGCAACCGAGGATTCCTACTATGCAGGGAGGACTACGGGGGAAAATGGGCAGGAAGGAAGCGGAGAAGCCATCGCAAGGAACAAAGTGTCAGTGGCTAGTCAACAGTAACCAGGCCAGAAGAGAGAGTGTCCTGTCCCGGGCCCCTCCAGCCCCACACACCAGATGCAATGTCCTTTACAGCCTCTGCTGTTGTGACTAGCTCACAACTGTTAAAGTTTTTTCCTCTTTTTCAAGGATTCAGATGTACTTTTTGTCCATGCTTATTCCGTCATCACAGGATATACTCTTTCGTCTCAAGTCCCCACGTTGTGACTGACCAGGTCAAAGCTGAAGTGATTTGTAGGGTCCTGCTCTTCCGCACCCTCCTCTCTCATCAGCAGAGAGCCACCTCCTGACCACTGTGCATCAAGTCCTTCAAGTGCCTGGACATCAGTACCAGTGGCTGAGGAGCCACTGCCTGTGAATCCCTGCTGTTCCCTCAGGTGCTCTCTGGCATTGGCTCTCTTCTCTTTAGCTCAGAAAATAGGAAGAACGTGTGTATCTAACAGACTAGCTAACTGGTGAGCGTGCTCCTGTCACCTCACCAGCCTTTCTTCACTGATAGATTTCACTAGGGAGGCAGGGGAAGACGAGTTGTAATTTTAGGGTTGTGGGGTAGGAGGGGTATGTTTTCTGTATCTGTCCTGCTTTCCAAAAAGTTTTTGCTTCCCATCTTAAGTATAGCCGTGATTCGATTTCCTGACTGGTACACTCAGAAGAAATGGGGATTTTACCACTAGACCAACTGTAGACAACATCTATACCTTTGCAAGTAGGATTCGTGGGCTTTAGCTGTCCTGTGGACTACTTTTGACAACGACTACAAACTAAACATTCCCTTCCCTCCAGAAAACTCTTTGTGGGAGGAACCACCTCTTACAGTATATGTGTGCCATGCCTAACACATGGGAATCCCCAGTTCTAATTTGATAAAGTGCTAGCAGCAGTGCTAATAGTAGCAATAAAGTAGTAGTAGTAATAATAATCATCATCATCATCTTCATCATCATCATCTATGCCTTAAATACAATGAAGAGGCACCACATTGTTATGGGGATTGCCCTGAATGAAATCTTTAATAGCAGGGCAGCACAAGCAAGTTATCATAAGGGTAAATTAGTATGTGAATTTACAATAGGCGGAGTATACTGCAGGGATGGCAGATAGCTCAGTCCTACCCCACAGTGGGCTAAGTACATGCACATATTATAGGCTATCTAATCTCTCAATGAAAGTGGTGTCATGCTTCAAGTTTCCCATGGTATTAGCTACACCTTAGGTCCCTCTTTGTCATAACAAGCGTAGAGTGACCCCGTTACACTTACATTGTTTAACAGCCCTTTACCCCAGAAAGTGTTTCTGGATAACGTTTTGACAAAGGTTTCTTTTGGAAGCATGCCACTCGTGCCTCTGGTTGCACTTGTAGCCTTGAAGAGATCTGAGATATATAGACGTGCTGTGTGGGAGTCATCCCACCTAAATTTGGACACTTCTACTGTAGATACCTACATCTGCTCATCACCTCAGCCTCCCCTTCACAGTCGGTGGAAAGGAATATACCTTTTTAGGGCCCAGCTCATCTGGCCTATTTCAGATGTCTATTTCAAGAGGGAATTTTGCACATCCTAGAAGAGTAGTCCACTGACTGGAGAAGGAACTCGTTGACTAGCTCAGATATAGCTGTCCAAGTTCTACAGATGAATCCACCCACAATTTTTAAGGAAGTGTATCACATCCTTCTGTTTCTCGATGAAGCCTGGCACATGTGTGTATGTCTGTGGTGCATTGGTCCCTGAAACTATCTTTGTCTTGTAAAGTTTCCTGGTTTGGGTTTTCATGCAAAACCCATATTTCACTGCAAGTCAGCTTTATCACAGTCTGTTATTCCTATTAGTGCTGCCCATCTGGGCACCACCAGCTTTACCCCAATTAAAAACTACCCAGTTCTCTACAAGGCCTTGAGGGCAGCATATTTCCATGGCACAAAAAACAAGGGACAGAGACCATTCTGCTATTTGATCACTCTGGATATATTTTCATATATATTTCCAATCTTACATGCTGCTGAAAATTTCCCGCTTTGAGCAAACCAACTTTTCTTCCATAGAATGGTATGTGACATGCTCAGCGGGGTGATGTGGACTGGAGAATTAGGGATTTTCTTTTTCTCCCACAAATAATTGTAGTTAGGCATGTAAAGTGGACAGGCGAAAACTTTCAAGTGAATTTTCCCAATCCCTTTTTTTACCAGGCCTGCTCTTCATTCTTGGCTGTCATGATTTTGTTCTCTTGCAAGGTACCTTGTTTTTTTAAAGGATTTCTATGTGCAGTACTTTTCAGTTAGAGCAATCAATTGAATAAATTACTTCCAAAAGTTAATTGGCATCACTCATGTACACTGACAATCTCAAATATTCCAAAACTGTATCAGGGCCCAAAAATAGTGAGAAAAGTTTTAGAATTCTGATTTTTTAAATGTGGGTTCTTTTAATTTACCTGATGGGCTGCAGACTTTTTACTTTTAGCAAATGCATCTTAAAGGGGTTTTTTTAGCAGACACATCTTAAGGGTTTTTTTTTCAGTAGCCACAAGGATTTGAATTTTTATTTAAATAAACCCCAGAAGTGCATCTAAGCCCATGATTCTGAGAGCTGAGGCTTTAAGAAAAATAATGAGTGTCCTAAAACTCCTGACAAAATTAGTAAAGCTGGCAACATTGTTGATCCTTCTTATTAGACTTCATAGTTGGCTTATAGGTTGGTGGGACTGTAGTTATTCTGCCTAAATAGCAGACATAGCACTCTAGGAAAGTACCACGTTGCCAAGTTACGACACTGTAGCAGTTAATCACTGTTTTCTGCTGGTTTACTGTGATCCCTTGGAATCCATATTTTGTGAACCACTGTTTTCAAGAATTACAAGGTACATAAAGAGACAGAATGGGATGTAACAGAAAAGCTGGAAGTTTTTTTGAACTTTCAAGCTGCCCTCACTCTGACCTATACTTATGGGCAGAGGTGTATTTTTCCCCACATGCTTCTGATGTATGTCCTTTTCTTAAATACACCTGAACAGTGGAAAGACTTCCCTGTATAGTGAACCTTTTATTATATATCTAGTAAATTCAGTATGTGCACAATGAATGGCACCAAACAAATCTATCTGTATTTTCAGCAGCAATCAAAAAAATGCTGTTTATTTTAGATAAAGAGTTAAGAGTTATAAAAATATATCTTCATCCAAGAGAAATACTGCCCATCCATTTTCATGATTTACAGCTCAGGAAAGAAATTCCTCGTGTAAGTTATTAGGGAGTATGCTTAAGAAAAAAATAAACTTAAGGCAATCCAGCAAATTTCCCATAGGTATTGGCTAGCTCGATGATGAGTAAATTAGACACTTTTGCGAGAAGGAATATTTGTATTATATGAATTCCGATGTCTAACTTTTTTGCTTATTTTAGGAGCCTTTGCTCCATGTAGAGTGAATACAGCCCTCAGTGGGTGATCCTGGAGACGCCCTTGGCTATGCAGGAAACCTGTGTTGCCCTCAGGCACCTACTTTAAATAAGGAGTTAAGAGACTCTTTTAAGTTAGAAACTGTGGATATTCTCTCTTAGGCAAACTGTCTTCCAGAGCATTGACAGTTTTCATGTTAGACTCATGACACGCTTTTTGATTATTCATATGCAATAGCCTACTGGATCAAATTTTGGTTCCAGTTAGGGAAATTAGGAGACTTTTCACATTGGCTTCTGCGGGCTTAGGTTATGGCTGGCCATCTACTCCATCATTTATTTCTTTTGGGTTTTTTTGCCTTTCCGCTTCATTTTATGACATTCAAATTACTGATTGCAAGAAGCACTAGAAAACACTTGCACATTGTTCTGAAATAACATTGTCTGAGCTGTGGTTACATTTGAAATCATAATTATCCCACTTCTTCACTGTCCAAACACCATTATGTTTTAGAAGCTCTCTTATAACTTGATCGTGTTGTGACAGGAACGAAGAGAAAAACTAACAGCCGCACAATACTCACAAAATGAGCACTTGACAATACCACCACGTAACAAATGTTTGTGGGATCTCACAGGATTATAACGTCAATATCAGACAGATTACATGAACCACCTGGTTAGCCCTCCAGCTCCCCACTACATGCCTCTTTGTATGCTTTTTAAATACTTTTCATATTTATTGCAGTGGCACAGGACACAAAATATATATCCCTAGCTTTCCTACTAGCTATCCTCCCTTAGCCTCACCTGTACCCCTGCCTTGTTTTCCTCCTTTCCTACCACCATTATATTTTTTTCTATTTGGAAACTTGGGAGCGTTTCCCAGTAAAGCCGATGCCAGTAGCGCTGCGTGAATCATCCTTAGAAATGATGAATCACGGAAGCCGTCCTCCTTCCCAACCTCATTCAGAAACAAAAAATAGCCCCACTTGCACGGCATGCCCCATGTCTCCCATCGCACCACACAGGACCAGTGCCAGGGGGTTGACGCGGCTTGGGGGCGGCTCTTTGACCAGAGGAAAATCTCTGCGGTACCAGGAGGGACCCGGCGTTTTGGTGTCCCTGAGGGAGCCCCAGGGTGAGGGCAGCCGGGTCTCGGCACTAAGCTCGTTGCCATCTGTTTCCCTTTCAGCCTGAGCCACCTTCGTCCAACAAGTGGCAGCTGGACAAGTGGCTGAATAAAGTCACCCCGCACAAAGCACCCATCCTGACCCACCATGACGGCCCGGCGCTGGAGGCCCATCCCTACTACGGCCGTGTGAAGGGGGAGCGGCAGGAAAGTGAGAAGACCCCAGCCACTGGCCCAGCCGAGCACCGCAGTGGGGAGAGCCGCACTGCCGCCGCTGCCGCCATCGGGGACGGACCACGGC